AGGGCGGGGGATGTGGAGCAGACCGGAGCCGGAGGAACGGAGAGTACGGGCGGGTAAGTAGGGGGATAGTAGGTCAGAGAGGTAGGAGGGTGCAAGGCCGTGAATGGCCTTGTAGGTGAGGATGAGGATCTTGAATTCGAGTTCGAATAGTAATAATAATAATCCTTGCATTTGATATAGTGCTTTTCACGTCTTCTAGACATCCCAAAGCGCTTCACAGAATATACTGTAAAGTGAATTGACTGTATATTTGTGGACGAACGCGGCAGCCCATTGCGCACAGCAATGTCCCACAAACAGTCGTGGATTGAAAAATGACCAATTATTGTTTTGTTTTTTGGACGGATTATTATTAGGGATTATTATTAGGAGGGATAAAGATCGAAGAGGGGACAATCTTTCACCCACTTTTATTTCTTGAAATACCTTTGCCTTAGAGATTTGCTTGTAGACTCTCAAATAATGCTGGTATCTCAAGCTGTCACATCAAAGCCACCCTACACTGTATCACAGCCTTAGACATGGATTAAGAGGCTCAATGGACTCCTTTAACATTGGCTTCAGGAACTTATTTGCCCAGAAATCTTGTGGACTGAAGGGACGGGTGGCATTTGGCCAACTATTATGTGCAACATGTGAGCACTCATGATTTTAACAGAAAAACTGATGTTTGTCAATTTGAAGCCAGCTAGTTTTTGCTGCATGAAGTACAATAAAAACAAATTACATTTATGTAGCGCCTTTCACGTCAGGAGAACGTCCCAAGGCGCTGTTTGTTTGTTTGTTTGTGGGACATTGCTGTGTACATATTGGCCGCTTACAAAATACAGTCATTATTTTATTTTATTGTATATTCTGGCGCTTTGAGATATCCTTCTGACATGAAAGAGGTTGCATCAAATATAACGATTTCTTATTATTTAAAGTTTTGAAGGTATTAAGCAGGCAATGAAAAGCTACGGTCGCATTGCATACCATTCATGTAGACTGGCAATTAACTGTGATGGGTGAGTAGCCATCAGCATGGCCACCTTTAGAGAAAGAGGAGAGGCAGATTGATTGGTGAGAAATGGATACAAGGAAACAATGAAAGAGCGTGAAACAAATCTACGTTCGAAATCTAAGTTGGGTTGTGGGTGTAAGAAATTGCTTTCCAAGGTTCTGAAAGTGGAACTTTGTAGCTGGAAGTCAGGTTTGTTTTTAGTAATATTCATATCTTGAGTTATATCAATAATAACAAATTAATAGGTAATTAATATGCACTGCTTTGAAGCAATTAGGTTGAGTCAGTCGCTGATTATATCCACCTACAGTGAATGATCAATTTATCTAGAAGATTGTTGGTCAAGGGTTGGGAATAACTCCCTTCTCTTACCAATACACTATGGAATCCCTCAACAGTGGTAGCACAGCTCGCTCGCCTCGCAAGTGAGAGGACCCAGGTTCGATTACCTGGTGGCACAAAACCCTAGGCAAGTTTCCTTACTCCACCCGCGTCTGTTATCTGGCAGTAAGTAGGAAAACAGATGTTAGTCGATTGACGCATTGCTTTCTGGGGGTAATAAATCCTCCAAAAAGAAGAATTGGTCACTCAATCCATTGCTGTTTGTGGGACATTGCAGTGCACAAATTGGCTGCTAAGGTGATGTTCTTCGGATGACATGTTAAAGCCGAGGTCCCATCTGCCTGTTCAGGTGGACATTAATGATCCCATGGCACTATTTGAAAAGAGATAGGAGTTTCCCTCTCCCAGTGTCCTCTCATCAAATCCCCCAAATAGAATTGGTCAGTTACTCCATGGCTGTTTGTGGGATGTTGCTGTGTGCAACTGGCTGATGCCTTTCTCTCACAAATACACAGTCAACCCATTTTATAGTATATCCTTTGAAGTGCTTTGAGACATCTCAACATATAAGCCGTTATCTCAAGTGCAAGCAGTATTATTAATAATATTATCAATAATAATAATACTGTCAAGAAATAGGTAAGCAGGATGCCCCTTCATTGTAAGAATTCACATTCCATTCTAGATATAGGGAAATCTCCATGTGTAGATGTCAAACATACAATGGAACCCCCCACCACCCAGTCTGATTTGGCTACTCTTTGAGCGTGGCAATGGGTTTCTGCTGTCAGACCAAAAAAATGGCACAAGCGTACTAACAGCTATAACCATGCCATTGCAAACACTGTCTGGCATACCTTCACAGAGATAACATCATGAGCAATGATTAAAGGACTTTTCGCACATTCACACGCTTTGTTAAAGATCTCACCGCAGTGATGTTGCATCTTGGACAATCTGCTCCAGTGATCGATGGCTTGTGGTGCAATAACAATTTATATAGACTGTAGTACTGATTTATGGAACTCAGGATGGTGCGAGAGGATTTGTTGTTTTTCAATCAATCCATTTTAATTAAGAGCGACCAAACTGCAATAAAAGGGCAAATCTGCCCTACAAGTGAGATTGATCCTCCACTCTCCACTGTGCCTTTGTCCGCAGACTTTAATTTAAGTGGATTGTTCTCACTCATTCTCGATTTATAGCATTAATTCATAAAAGTTTAATTCATGTATCACTTTCAAATATTTAATTACTGTGAATATCTGCACCGAATAGACTCGAATTCAGGATCCTCATCCTCACCTACAAGGCCATTCACGGCCTTGCTCCCTCCTACCTCTCCGACCTACTATCCCCCTACCTACCTGCCCATACCCTCCGTTCCTCTGGCTCCGGTCTGCTCCACCTCCCCCGCCCCAACCGCCCTACCATCGGTGGCCGGGCCTTCAGCCTCTCAGCCCCCAGGCTCTGGAACTCTATCCCCCAGTGCCTTCGCCGCCTCCTCCCTTTCCTCCTTCAAGGCCGGTCTCAAGACCTTTCTCTTTGACTGTGCCTTCAGCTCCCCTCTCGACTCTCTACCCCCTTCTCGCTCCCTCCCTTCCCTCAGCCTGACCATTTCCCCCCTGCTTGGGTCCTGACCCAACTGTACAGCACTTTGGGACGTCCTCCCGACGTGAAAGGCGCTCTATAAAAGGAATCTTGTTATTGTTGTTGTTGTTAATGTTCGCTCCTCTCTAAATTACTGTTTTTTTCTTTCTCTCTGCATCCTGCTTCCCTCTTGCGCGTTGACCATCACACCACCTCAGCTTTATCTCGCCATTCCACATGTGAAAGCTAGTTTGGGGTTGAAAACAGCACTCGGACGTCAAAACCACCTTTTCTTTAGTGTGAACGTTCCTAGCTTCTGAAGCCTCTCCTCACAACTCGATGCTATGTTCTAGCTATCAACCGACTAAGTGTCAGCCTGACTCAGTTGGTAGCACTCTTGCCTCTGAGTCAGAAGGTTGTGGGTTCAAGTCGCATGTTAAGACTTTGAGCTCATATAGTCCAGGATGACCCCAGTGCTGATGGACAAGATATTAAACCAAGATTGTATCTGCCTGTTCAGGTGTTCAGGTGTACATTAAAGATCTCATGCCACTATTTAAATAGGAAAGGGGAGTTTCTCCAGCTGTCATGGCTAACAATCCTTGAAATAAAATTGGTCATTCACTTCCTGCTCTTTGTGGGACATTGCTGTGTGCAGATTGGCTGCCATGTTTGCCTACAAAAGACAGTCGATATACTTTTACAGTGTATCCGGAGAATCACTTTAGACATCTTCTTGATGTGAATGCACTTTATCTAATGCAAAGATTATTTATTTATACATGGAAATCCAATGTCTTTCCCTCCTAACCTAATTCCAGAGATTATTAGGCACTGTTTGGAGAGAGCCAAGGTTTGGGATCCTCAGAGTGCGTCCTGGAGGTAATGATGGAGTTTAACCATCTAACACCACAAAGTTTGTCATGAGAGCACTGACTGAGTAATATTCTGATTGTAGCACAGTGACAATTAGGAGGAAATTCATCAGAGGAACAAGAAAGGAACTGAGGCTTAATGACTCTAATGTTTCTGATAGAAAAAGGCATGGAATATGAGCTATCTGCATGCATCTTCTCTCTGTGTCAGGATATTAAGCCCCAGCACCGTTGGTTTAACTTCTTAACATTGCTGACTAGCTCTAGCAGAGCAAAGGGCAGGTTTTATTGTACTGTTGGCCCATAGTCAACATTCTGTGAATAAACTTACTTTCTTGTGTACAATTCCCTTTCTATTTATTTGTACACATTGAACGAGTCACTTTGATATGTCGTCCCAGATAACAGATAATCCTATGGGACTTTTTTCCCCTACACATCCAGTTTCTCTGTAGCTATCCTATCGAATTCCTTGACAGAGTTCCTCTTGAGTTATTTTCCATTTCTGGTCTGTATTTTCCTACACTTTCCTTCTCACAAACTAGTTTTACTATTATTCGGCTGGTTGGAATTGTCATCCTTAATTTTCAGCTATGCAGAGCTTTTCTTCACAACGCAATTAGGTACTATATCAAAAGCAAGGATTATTATTTATTATTACAGAATTAAGGGATCTTTAACATCCACCCGGATAGGCAGATGGTATCTTGGTTTAGTCTCTCTTCACCTTCGTGTCAACGTGCTGTGTGCTCACACAAGGCAGGAAGCTAATCTTTTCATTTGCCTGGAACAAAAGAAGCTCAACAAAAAGTCACGACAACTTGAAATAAAAAGGGTTTGTTTATTGTGTGTCAGTTTGGCTCAGTGCCTGCCCTGCTCGCCTCTGGGTCAGAGGGTTATCACTTCAACCAAAATGGACATAGCACCAGACGAGAAGATATTGCCCTTTTTCTTGGTCAGACAGGGGTCGACTCACACGGAAACCCATCACAAACCATCTCCAACCAAATTGCTGAGAGTTCCACATCCCGCGTGGGAATTTTCATTCCCGTCTGGAATGGATTGCGCACTCTCTCCCCAGAGGGACACACTCCATTTCACCCGATCCTAGAAAGTATCAGCACGGGTTGGTGAGAGCCAAGGTTTCCCCCCCAAACCCCCACCTCCCACCCCAGAGTGTGCGTGCGTGCTAAAAAAAACTCATGGCTTTCCATTTCAAAATCCAAATCCAACTTTGTTTTTTGAGGTGAGTTATTGATAAGTTTCTTTCAAAAAGCCGGCTTCAAAGTTCAAACTCTGAATGCTAAGAAAATGGGTGGAATTTCTCACTGTAACATGTTAAATAAGATTTTACTAAGCGCTCTGAGATGTTACCCTGCGTGGAGGGCGCTATATAAGTGCAAGTTGTTGCTGTTGTTCTTACTTGTTGTTCTTGCATTTCCCTTCGGCTTCCATACAAAGTACAGTGTAGATGCCGTGATGTTACTATGGGGAAGTGCAGAAGGAAAGCGTGCAGAATCAACGGACTGTGGTCTTCACCCCATTTTATTTCTCGCTCTTGACCTTCACTCGACATATCTGATGAAAAATGTGACGAAGCAACAGCCGACCAGAGACATGGCGGACGCCGAGATCACCACAACAATCACGCTGCCTGCCATGTTGACCAAGGCACCTACCCCGGCTCCCACCAGGATTTGTGCCAGCTGCACCATGGAGGTCAGTGCGGCGCAGTCGATGCCTTTACCCCGGCTGTCATATGGGAGTCCCCCATTGCCCCTGTGGTGCATCTGAAAAACACAGGAAAATCATAATCTTCTGTCTGTCGTAGGGCACATTTCCACCAGAACCTTCTAAACTCTGCAAATCCTTATCAACCATCACAACAACAACAACTTGCATTCATACAGCACCCTTCACATGGGCTGGGCTCTCAGAATTACCCTCGCTAAATGTGGCTTTGGCTCAGTTGGTTGTATTTTTGGCTATATCCTAATTGGTTATAATAGTAATAATAAAAAAATATAATAATCGTAATTTGGTCATGCAATCCATGACTATTTATGGACACTACTGTGCACAATTACCTGCTGCGTTTTGCCCACAAAGTATACAGTCAATTCACTTTACAGTATTTTCTGTGAAGTGTTTTCAGACATCTGAATGACATAAGGGTCTGCATTAAATACAACTATCATTCTCATTATTATTATAATAACCCTTGCATTTGATATAGTGCCTCATCACATTCTCAGACTACAAAGTACATCATGGGCTTTCTTTGCAGTTGGGAGAAACTCCCTTCTCTTTTCGAGTAGTGCCATAGGATCTTTTAACATCCACCTGAACAAGCAGACAGGACCTCGGTTTAACTCCTCATCCGAAGGATGGCACCTTTGACAAAGGAAGGACTCAATAGCCTTCAGCAGAGGTTGATGGTGGATTTTAAACAACATCCGAAATTTTGACCAATATTTCCTGTTTCTCCCGAAGGTGGTGGATATTGGTCAGGTTTCTGGGAGAACACCTTGGATTAATTCTAAGGGACCTTTAACCATCATAGCAGCGTCAGAGTTTAACGTCTATCTGAAGGAAACACCAGGAAGGAACTGCATTCAGATAGTTTGAGGTGTTTTACAAAGGGCCTTAGCCAAAGAGGCTAGGATCCTGCCAGATAAAATTAATCATTCACTTTATGGCTGTGTGTGTGTGTGAGAATTGGGTGTTTCGTTCACCTGGAACATACGCAGTCACCACACTTCACGGTGTAGCTGTGAAGCACTTTGAGACATCCTCTCGAAATGAATGGCACTGGATCAAATGTAAGGATCATTATTACATCATTCTTCAACATACATCCCAACTCTTACCTCTTCCTCTCTGTGGTACTCGGAGATCAGGTTAAAGGGGACTGTGTAAAGGGTACTGGACATCACCCCAAAGGCTGCACACAGGACCAGCGTGGAGTTGACAACAGGGAAAATGGCGATTAGCCCAGTTCCGAGACCAAATAGAAAATACCCTACAAAATATAATCCCTTCAGCCCTATGAGTGGTAAAAGGCCCTTTTGTAAATCTAAAAGGAAATAAAATGATATTATTAGGAATAATAATGTTAAGAATAATCCTTGCATTTGATATAGCGTTGAGACATTTTAAAGCACTTCACAAGATGTACTGTAAAGTGGATTGACTGTGTATTTTGTGAGCAAGGGTTTCAACTCACAACCTTGTAGTTCAAAGGTGCACCTGGTTGACACACAGGTGTACCACATCTCTGGTAAACCACAAGGCCACAAAGCACTTGTGTTATTTGTGGACCCACAAAATAGTAAACAGGCTCTGACTATTAAAGTTTATTTAGTTACTTCTGACAACAAGACAAATTACATTTGTATCACGCCTTTCACGTTGGGAGAACATTCTGGATGACTTTAATATTGTCACATTGTTTCATCCCATATGCCTTCAAGCCTCTACTCTTCATTATAAACAAGAAAAAAATGCATTTGTATAGTGCCTTTCATGTAGGGAGGACCTCCCAAGGCCCTGGGATACCTGTCTGCTTCCCTCTTGAAACACCTAAAGGGCTCTGTCTCTACCACAATACTTGGCAGGGCAATCCAAACTCTCATGGCACTATTTGAAAAGGAAAGGGAATTTCTCCCGGTGTCCTTATGCCAGCAATCCCCCCGGATAACATGAGTTAAGTTCACACCGTGGCTGTTTGTGGGACATTGCCGTATGCAAATTGGCTGCCACGTTTTGCCCATAAGACACACAAAGTCACACTACTTCACAGTATATCCTTTGAGATGTCTCGATGATGTGATAAGGCGCTGTATCAAATACAAGGATTTATTTGTATTTGGTTTTGAAACCTTCTAACTCAGAGGGCATGGAGTTCTCAGGGATAGCCAGCAGTCAACGGGATAACACAGCACAACTTTCTGAAAAAGTAGCACACAGACTCCATCTGCAGGTCACTGGATGCAGTATGCTTGCTGTGCAAGCAAACTGCACTTTGACAAGGCCATATAAGAGATCATTTTTAAGCTGAACTGCTTCCAAGGTGACACGCTTAGCAACACAATGTCGGAATCGAGCCAGTTCTCTGTGGCGGTCTCGCTTGTCCAATGGGTCTGCAATATTCTAAGGAACTGCTGATGACAGCACAACTCAGCCTGGCCCATTAGCAGGACTTGAAAGGGCAGACCAGTCACTGGGAGCAGTGAGGCATTCCACTCAGCTCCTTTTAACCCTGCAAGCCCTAACAGGTAGGGTGGTCCTAGTTGGACAAGCAGTGGGAAGCTTGCCAGATAGTGCTCTCAATGGAAAGCTATTTGGTTTAAGTTAGTTAAACTCCAGGAGTTACCCCAAACACACACTCTGGATTCTTGCCAAACTGAGTCTAATACTCTCTGCAGCAACTTGTACACAGCGATGACCCACAAAGAGGGCCAGGAAGGAAATGGTCATTTTTTATCTATGGGGATTGTTGACCAGGACACCAGGTGAAATGCACTTCTCTTTTCGAGTAGAGCAATGGGATCATTAATGTCCACTTAAACAAACAGATGGAACCTTGATTCGACTTCTCATGGTAAATAACAGCACCTCTATCAATGCAGTGTCATCAAAACCATGGAAGACCAGCTTCCAAAAGAAGCCTAAATTCAAGAATTTTCCACAATTCTGCATAATCTTGAATACTGAGACAACGTGTTCTTACAACAACAAATTACATTTGTATAGTACCTTTCATGTCAGGAGGACGTCCCAAGGTTTTGGACAGTCAGGGATTTGCACCCGAGCTGGGGGTTGGGATCCTGGAAGGTGGAGGGCAGGGGGAGTGGCAGTAGGAGGATGACCGAAGGCATGTTTGAAGAGGAGGGTCTTGAGACGGGCCATGAAGGAGGCAAGGGAGGGGGGGAGGCGAAGGGACTGTGGGATGGAGTTCCAAAGGGTGGGGGCAGAGAGGCTGAAGGGCCGACCACTGATGGTGGGGCGGGTCAGGCACGAGACATGGACCAGGCCAGAATCCGCTGAGTGAAGGGAAAGGACAGGTCGGTATGGAAATAGCAGGTTACAGAAAAAGGTATAGTTAACAATCCGGGAAACAGATCTGTATTGTCTTCTTGCCTCAGTTGCAACTTTAGGCTAGTTAGTGACCCATACCCGCTTAACAGTCCTTTTTTGATCTTGTGCTCATCCCTCCCCTTTCGAATCAATCATTACTTTCCAATCGGGTTACAGTACGCCACACTCCTCTTACTTTCCACCTACCATAGATCATCTCATTAAAACTTTCCTGCCCTGCATGATGGCATCAGTAAAAACAAGAACATCAGATAAGACTGTGGTGCAACTTTGGGTTTCAATTCAATAATCAATCCACATCTTATTGAGAACAGTCGCAGATTATTCTCCCTCATTATAATATTTATATTTCAAAGGCAAAGGAGCGATTGGTATCCACAAGACACAGTTGATCAGTAGTGAAGGATTTAGCTTCCAGCACTTACATGAATACAACGCAGATGAAACAGCATTGATGCAAAGGCCCCAACATCCTACTTCCACACCTTGTTCATAGATAATGTACGCCGTGGAATTGTGCTCTGCGTAGGGATTACCACGATAAACTATCTGAAACAAATGAAAAGATGAGGGAAACCAGCTAGGATAATAATCTTTGCATTTGACACAGCGTCTTATCACGTTGACGAGATATCTCAAAGCGTTCCAGGTTGCTGAAGCGGATTAGCTGCTCTGTTTGCTGAAGCTAAAGCCAAAACTACATTTATAATGGAATTGGATTTTCTTGCTTGGAGAGAAAAATAATACCAATGGGTAAGAGTAAAGAGCAAGGGAATGGAGTTAGAGCAGAGAGTCAGCAACAACAACGACGATTTACATTTCTATTCCTGGGGGGTAATAATTCCATCAAAATAGAAAATAATTTGGTCACTCAATCCATGACTGTTTGTGGGACATTGCTGTGCACAATTGGCTGCTGCTTTTTGCCTGAAGTCTTTACAGAATATTCTGTGAAGCGCTTTGAGACGTCTCAAAGATGTGATAAGGCGCTATATGAAATGCAAGTATTATTATGATGATTATTATTATACCTTCCTCCTCACGCAGAGTTGTGTCTCAGACTGCTTGGTCAGCATTAGCAGAGACACAATGGGATTGTTAGCAAAGAATCAGGGGAAAGGTTACTAATAATAATATTTGATCAGGGAGAATGGACACCCCAGAAACGATAAACGTCCTCCCCACCGACAGTGCCGACAGTACCCAATACCTCGGGAAAGCCTCCTGTATGTTGCGGCTATGATCGAGTCTCTGTTGTATCAGGGAGTCATTCACAAAGGCACGTTTACCATGGATTCTCCAGTACAGCCAGTCTGTAAGCCCGACGGGAACTGGCATCTCACGATTGATTATAGGCACCTTAACAAGGTCACCCCTTCCTGCGCATCTCCCATGTTATTAACCAGTCTGCCGCGGGCTGCCCGAGTGTTTTCAATCTTAGATATTTCCAATGGCGTTTGGAGTGTCCTGGTAGTGGCGGACGATCAATACAAGTTTACCTTCACCTTCGACAACCAACAGTATACATGGACTTGTGTTCCCCAGGGGTTTCACAATGCCCCCATCATATCCCACAAGGGTATGGCAGCAATTATGAAGGGGTGTGTACACTCCGAATGTGTATTCCACTACGTGGATGATGTACTGATTGCTACGGCAGACAACAACAACAACAACAAGATTCTATTTATAGAGCGCCTTTCACATCGGGAGGATGTCCCAAAGCGCTGGAGAGTTGGGTCAGGACCCGAGCAGGGGGGAAATGGTCAGGGTGAGGGGACGGAAGGGAGGGAGCAAGGAGGGGGGAAATAGTCAGGGTGAGGGGAGGGAAGGGAGGAGGCGAGGAAGGGGTAGAGAGTTGAGAGGGGAGCTGAAGGCACGGTCAAAGAGAAAGGTCTTGAGACCGGCCTTGAAGGAGGAAAGGGAGGAAGCGGCGAAGGCACTGGGGGATAGAGTTCCAGAGCCTAGGGACTGAGAGGCTGAAGGTCCGACCACCGAGGGTAGGGCCGTTGGGGCGGGGGACGTGGAGCAGACCGGAGCCAGAGGAACGGAGAGTACGGGCAGGTAAATAGGGGGATAGTAGTCGGAGAGGTAGGAAGGAGCGAGGCCGTGAATGTCCTTGTAGGTGAGGATGAGGATCTTGAATTCAATCCTCTGGGGGAGCAGCAGCATCTGGAAATCTTGGCTGATGTAATCCAGCGGCTACAAATATTAGGGTTAAAAATTAACCCTAAAAAGGCTTGATTGATGCAATCTACTGTCACTTTCCTTGGCGTCCAACTATCCGAAACAAGGCGAACACCAGATGAACACAAGGTGAAGATCATACAACGATTGCCCTGACCTACTTCCAAAACTGCCCTGCGATCATTTTTGGGATTGGTGGGTACTAGCGATCCTTTATACCATCTTTCGCTGAGCTGGCAAAACCTTTATACGAACTCCTGAAAGGGGACGATGATTCCTTGCTCCAGCAATGGACTTAGAGACTGAATTCAACACCGCTTTGACAGCAGCCAGGCTGCTATTGCGTGAAGTGGTCTGCAGGTGGGAAATACCACTGCAAGTGGACAGCCACCAGGAGTCCCATTTCACCGGGCGGATCTTTACCGAATTACAGGACTTGTTGGGTATCCAGCAAAGTTTCACATTTCCTTTCACCCCAAATCATTAGGGGTAGTGGAGAGGGGAAACCAGACACTTAAAACAATGCTCAAGAAGTTTTGTGCAGATCACCCCATCCTATGTGCCTGATGGCAATCAGAGCTACTCCACATTCCACCACAGGGATAACTCCACATCAAGCAATGGCAGCAATGGCACTTGATGATAAGACCAGAAAAACTGATGCTACCCAGCTTAACACCGGTCCAAATAAGCGCCATTACTGAAAATTGGGTACTCAAAATGAAAGAGCACATTCAGGCTACTAACCTGTACGTAGCCACCAATATCGGGAAAACCCAAGCAGCAATGAAACACTGCTTTGACAAAAAAGTCAAAGCAACTGAATATGACGTGGGAGACTCGGTTATGGTTCTGGACTTCGGAAAGAAATGCTACCCTTTTCAAGTGCGATATAGAGGCACCTTTCCCATAGTAGATAAAGCCAGCCTCTTTGTATACTTACTACAATACAATACAAAAGGAAGGAAACACACGAGATAGCATCACATTAATCAGCTGAAACTGTATAAGTAACACATCATATGCTTGATCCTTTACAGAAGCAGAACCAAGGATTGAAGTGTGGTACTCATTAGCAATCTGGATCATCATGTCACCTGCTGCACCAACACCCCTTCTGCATTTGATGTCACAAATGTTCATGATTGTCCAAATGATAGTGATGGTAGTGCTGATCGGGTCAGTGTGTTGGGACCACGGGCTAGTTCGTGAGCTGCAACAATGAGCAACCCAGCTGAACCTGATAGATTTAATTCGGAGGTGAGGGGTCAACGTTTAAGCCTTTCCCCCTCAAGGTGGGGACTGTAAATAATGATGAGTTATGGATAATTATGTTATGTATGATCAGGACTATAAGCGTTGATTCATATGATTATGGGTAATGTACTCGCTGCTGTTTAATAAGGAAAATAGGCAATTGAATGACCTTTGAAACCACGGAAGTCAGCAGTAAATTGAACCTAGCGGTCAGCAGGCTGGTACAAATGGGTTTAGAGCTATCAAAGAAGTTAGACGAAGTTACATTTTCCAGAAAAACAAAACATGTCAGAAAACAGTTTCAAGGCCGGGACAGGGAGCCTGGGACAAGGAGATTAGGAGCCAGGAGAAGAGTCACGAGGGGCAAAGGAATGCGTGAGAAATCATCACTGAGGGGTATCGATACAATGAACACCATGCGCAGGTTAAGATGAGCAGATCTGAAGGAAGGTAACGGTCAAAAGGTGATGTGACTGTAAGAGTCAGTACTTTTAGAAACTGAGTGAAGTTGTCTCGGATCGGGGAGAGAACAGGGGAGGAGGCTCTGTGGTCATCATTGCGAAGGGCTGACCTCTCCAACCGAAACCACAGAAACTCAAGATTGAGAACGACTCCTCGTAGGACGAGCAGGAGGGCTGAAGGAGGAAGAACAATACAGACTCCGAGTTAAAACTCAAGAGACCAGCAACAGGCAGCTCTTCCAGTCGATCATGCTGATCACCGGAGAACTCTGGACTGCAGACTTCAGGGGAAAGATCGATTAAGGCAGAATACCACAAACACACCAGAGGGAGACAAGGTAGCCAGAGAGAGAGAGAAAAAAAAGAGAAAAAAAAAGGAAGCCTTGTCACAGACTCCAGAGACCAGTCAGATTTGACCGCTGACCCAGCCTCCTTTCCCAGCACGCTGCTTCTACCCGACCCGGCTGATTGACTGCTAGTTACCGATAGTATAGTTTCGCACTTCCAAGCATCCATGCATAATGCACCCTCTTTCGCTTAAAACCTTTGATATCATGTGATTCAAACTTGTGATTTATTGAACTGTATTCGGGATTAGTATGCGGTCGACTGTATGTGATCTATTTAGTTTAAAGCCTAATGTCCATTTAACCCTTAAGGTATAACCAATCACTAACCCTTATGAGTCTTTCAATATTCGTGATGTCAGTTGCAACCAGTTATTTTGATTAAACTTATTTATACTATCGAAACGGTGTTCAGATCTGTGTGTGTACCAATTCAGCCATCGCCGCTACAGTTTACAGTTGGTGAGCCAGCCAGGAGGGTGTGTATCCCGAGTCATTGTGATCGGTTGATCAAGCCGGGACCCATATAACATGATTTCTACTCGATAGATATCTAAAAAGGAGTAAGCACATGGGGGTAAAAGGCAGGTAAATGGGACTGAAAGGATTGTCCTTTAAAAGAGCCACGACAGACATGACGGCCTTCTTCTTCGCTGTACATTTCTATGGCTCGATCCAAGAAGAATCTGAAAACCCAAACCATTCACAAGTTGTTCCTTTCTTACCTGCCCCATGAAGTCTGTAAAAAAGAGCATGATTGAGAGGAAAGCTGTCCATCCTATAAGGTGGCTGACACACAAGTAACGGTAATGAGCAGGCATGCTGAGCAGAGCCTTAATCAGGGATTTCAGCGTCATACGTGGCTGCACCTTGAAATGAAAGCAACATATCAGCGAAACCCCACAATGACCAAAATTCCTCACAGTCTTAACCTCGGAACTACATAAGATCACAAGAATTTGGTAGGCGAAAGAAGGTCCACATAGTATGCCTTCCACCATCCTGGCAGTCCGTGACTATACACAAACTATACACTGTATCCTGAGATATTATTTTCTAGCAGAACTTTATCTAATTCATCTTGAAACAAATTTTCTGCTTCCACTGCCCCTCACAACCTTCTCCAGTGTGAACAACTTCTGTCTTAACATGTAAGGTTTTGTGAAATTTATAATAAAAATATACTAATTTATAATATTAATTTTAGTAATATATTAATATTAATTTATACTTAAAAAATAAATCCGTGCATTTGATGTAGTGCCTTATCGCATCATTGAACCACCTCAAAACACAGAATATATAATAATAATCCTTGCATTTGTAGCGCTTTTCATGTCTTCCAGACATCTCAAAGCGCTTCACAGAATATACTGTAAAGTGAATTGACTGTATATTTGTGGGCGAAACATATATATATATTGTAATTAGAATTTGGAAGCAATTCTTAAAACTCACTCTTAATTAACCTATTAGAATTTGGAAAGGATTCTTAAAACTCAGTCTTAATTAACCTAATTTGCTTAAATAACCTAAATTCTTGACCTACGGGATAACCGATTCTTGAGTTAAAAGTAAGTTGAATAATTTTACAAAAATTGTGCACGATGTTAAATTTTAAGATCATGTTCTTTAGATTAAGGTCATGAGAAATTTCTTGTAAGGAACTGGGCAGCACGGCAAGGATAGATCTTTTTCCATCCCCTGCAGAACCCATTAAGAAATTCAGCCCAAACTGATGGGATGAATGTTTCCTTCTGAGATAAACTGGTGCAGGCTGAATGCTAGTCATCCTAAAATAAATGCAATGCAATATTCATGTGGAGATAGGCCATGGGGCCATGAATCAGGAACAAAGAAACGCTACTTGAAAATGAAAGGAGTTTCTCCCAAATTCCCTGTGCCTACAATTTCCCCAAATAAATCTGCTCATTCGCACCGTTGCATTATAGTGAATCCTGTGATGTGCTTTGAGATGTCCTCCTGACATGAAAGGCACTATATCAAATGCAACGATTATTATTATAATTTCTCAAAGCTTCTGTAAACCGCAGTGACTTTTTATATTTGTAGGCTAGAGGGGCAACAAATTTGTGCACAGCAATGTCCCACAAGCAGCCATAGTGCGAACTTTATTAATAATAACACTTGCATTTTTTACACTCAGATTAGTTGGATATGGAATGGTGACGGTGGTGAGGCTGAATCCATGTTGGGTTTCAAGTAGTGACTGGATAAATACCTGAAAAAGAGTCAGCTGCAAGGGTATGGGGAAAGGGCAGGTAAATGGAACTGAAAGGATTACTGTTGAGGGCCGAATGGTCTTCTTCTGTACCGTGAATTTGTATTGTTCTACCAATGCACTGTTCTCTCTGAGCTTTGCTTAAGTGTCAGCCTTGATTGTGAGGTCAACTCAACAGTATCTCAGTGGTTAAAGCACTCGGTTCCCTGGGTTCGTTTCCTGGCAGGGCGAAATGTTGAGCCAGTTTCCTTACTCCACGCGCCTCTGTTTACCTAACAATCAGTAGGGACCCGACTGTTACTTGATTGGCGGATTTTCCGGGAGTAATAATCCCTTCAAAATAAATCAAACTAATTTGGTCACTCAATGCCCACGATTGTGTATGGGTCACAGCTGTGCACAATTGGCTGCCGCGTTTCGCCCCAAAAATATACAGCCAATTCACTAAACAGTACGTTTTATGAAGAGCTCTGAGACATCTTGAAGATGTGATAAGGCACTATATCAAATGCAACGATTCTTCTTATTATTATTAACTCCTCGTGTGGGGCTCAAACCCTCAACCTTATTACCGAGAGGTGAGAGAGCTACCAATTGAGTCAGTCTTTTACAGTGTTCCCTTTCTTAAATCACCTCAACAACAATAACTTACATTTATATAGTACATTTCACATAAAATAATTGTCTCAGAGCACTTTACAAAGAGAACATTATTACACATCAGGTTAAAAGGGACTGTGTAAAGGGTCCTGGCCATCAGCCCAAAAACTGCACCCAGGACCAGCATGGAGTTGACAACAGGGAAAATGGCGATTAGCCCAGTTCCGAGACCGAACAAGAAATAGTCTACAAAGTATAATCCCTTCATCCCTATGAGTGGTAAAAGATCCTTCTGTAAATCTGAACGGAAATAAAACTCATTTTAAAATGATATTAGTAATAATAAGAAGAATCATTGCATTTGATATAGCGCCTTATCACATCGTTGAAACAACTCAAGGCACTTCATGGTATGGTATGGTATGTATGGTAAAGTGAATTGACTGTGTATTTTGTGGTTGAAACGTAGCAGCCAATTGTGCACAGCAGTGTCCCACAATCAGTCGTGGACTTAATGACCCAATTTCTTTGAAGGGATTATTTCCCCAGGAAAGTGATTTGCCAATTGACTAACAACCACCCTCCTGCTTATAGTTAGGTAAACAGAGACGTGTGGAGTAAGGAAACTTGCCTAAGGTTTCACCCTGCCTGGGAATCGAAGCCGGGTTCTCTGGCTTGTGAGGGCGAGAGCTCTAACCCCTGCGCTACAGGACTCCATGTATCTGAAAGTATTATTCTGGGTTTACTTACTCAGTCTCAATTAAAATCTTGTATTCCACTGTCCCTCTGAGACATCCTGACTTGTCTACTTGTTGCACATTCCTCTAACAATGCGCATCATTGCAATTGCTCTCCTCTGCACTACTTTAATGGCCTAGGCAGCTCCTTATCTATGGACAACATACCTCTCCTTCTGGTGCTTTGATATAGTTTTTGGCTTCAAATTCCCTTTTCAATAGTGGAGCATTTGGCTTGTACAAATCTGACTCATGTTGACCATCGCCCGGGCTCTCGATGGTTCCGTAGACAGAAGCGTCCTTATCCTTCAACAGAAACCTGTCCAGTTCCGTGCTTTGGCGAAACGGAGCCTCTGGAATGCTACACAGGTGCACGATTAGAAACAGAGTGAAGATGGTTGTCCCAAAAAAGTATATGACTTGAAACTCAGAGCCAAAAATCCTTCCCAGGATTGTGTGGTTCCACTCTATGGCACCAATGAGGTAGCCAAGTGCTCCTCCCAGACCTGCACAAAGAGAGACATAGAGGAAGAGTCATGTCCTGCATAGAAGGGAGGCTGTTATGCCTGTTGTGCCTTTGCCACCGCTACCCTTTTCTCTAACTCGCCTTTACCTCTGTACCTAACTCTTTTACCTCTCCCTCTGCTCAGCAGATTCTGGTCTGCTCCATCGCCCCAACCTGCCTGCCCCACCTTTGGCATTCATGCCTCCAGCCTTTCTGGCCCCACCCTTTGGAACTCCATCCAACACGACAGTCCCTTCACCTACCCTCTTCCCTTGCTTCCTTCAAAGCCCGTCTCAAAATCTTCCTGTTTGACCATCCCCTTGGTCACCCACCTACTCCCACCCTCCCTGCCCCCCACGCCTCCTGATCCCAACTCCCCAGCTCGGGTGAAAATCCTTGATTAACTGGCAACGCCTTGGGACGTCCTCCCAACTTGAAAAGTTATGCAAAATAATCTTTTACATTTTTTACTAATACCAAAAGCAGCTTCATTCCAATCAATGGAAACTGTTGATTATAATAATAATCTTTACATTTAATATTACATCTTTCAGGTTGAGAGGGTGTTTCAAAGTGCTAATTTTACTGTAAGGTTTAGGAACCGTGTATTTTGTACTCAAACGCAGCAGCCAATTTGCACACATCGATGTCCCACAAACAGCCACAAAGCAAATGGCCAATTTTATTTGGAGAATTGTTGGCCAGGACACAGGGTGAAATCCCTTCCTTCTGTTTTCGGGTAGTGCCACAGAATCTTTAACGTCCACCTGAACATGCAAACTGGACTTTGATTTAATGGCTCATCTGAAGGATGACACCACTGACAATGCAACACACCGCCAGCACTGCACTAGATCATCAGTCTAGAGCGAGATGTGAGTTCAAAATCCAGACATGGGTCTCAAACCCACAACCTTCAGCTACCCGCTGAACCAGGCCCGAAAAACAAATTAGACTACAACAATTTGCATTTGTATAGTGCCCCACAAGCAGGATAGAGTCTCAGACCACTCTGAGATAAATTACATTAAACCAGAAATATAAAAGACATACTGGACACAGCAAGAAAAGCAGCGTTAAAACGTGGGAATGTGTTTGCAGGACAATGTAGGAGATTCTTTTATGCCCATTGCTCTCTAGAAGTCATGCCTCCTGGTCTCCTGCCTGTGGTATAGCACATCACGAGGTGAGACTTTGTGTGTGTGTGAGTGCTCTCTGGAATGGAGAAACTTGTGATAATTAACACATGACTGGCTGCCAAGAGCATTAGAAGGCAAGCACTCACCAGTGAACAGAGCATGAAAGTGCAGCCCTCGCTCCTTATCCCGATGGGAGCAGATATCGAACAAATAAGCCTTGACGGGGCCATCTATGAAATCAGCTGAGAAGTCGAACAGGACCACTCCGAACATAGCAGCCAAGATTCTCCAAATGTACCTTTGCTTCTTGCTGCTGATCAGAGCTGAAACACACAGAGAGTGGCCAGTCAGCCTCCCTGAGTCCACCACTGGAATGTGGTTCACTTCTCAAGCACCTCACATCTGACTCTTAACGCAGAACAAATCAGGCCTTCTGTGCAACAGAGCTATTGGTCATTCACCCAGTTACTGTTGTGTTTTTTTTATATAAAAAGGGAAAAATTCCAGTGTTCATATTTAGTGGAGATACTTATTCAATTGTTTCAGAATTAGGGACTGACTGACTTTGAAGACAATTTTTTTGTAAGTTGCTGACGGTATAAAAATGCAAACTAACTATAAAAACATATTGTAATAAGTAAGATTCTCATATACTGCATATAACATATGTATTATAATATAGATATAATACTTATCTACACTATATCGTGATACGTATCTACAGGTAATACCGTAAGTATCTAAAGTGTATTGCAATATGTGTCTACAATACTTTGCATTAAAATTGCAAATAAAATCGTGATATCAGCTGGTCAGTGTGTAACAACTGACACACAAAACGTTAAACTCACCCTATGTTAAAAAAAACCTTCTCTCGATCCGAAATAGTTGCATAACTTTACATAAAAGTTAATATTAAAATGTAAAAAGTTAATTTAAAATTTCATAGCAGAGAACTTTCTTTTTAACAAAAGAATTCACCTGTGTTTCAAAAGAAGATTCCTTCTCTCCACCTGAGAACAGTCCCAATCAAACTCTGCATCAAAGTTTACTGTCGAAACTCCACACAAAAGTTTACAGCGAAACCTCAAACAAAAAGTTTCTTTCCAAAGTGCCGCATAAAAGCTCGTTTTAAAAAGAAAACTTCACAATAAAAAACGAGAGCTTTTCAAACCAAGAAAAAAATATTATACATATATATATATAATAAAACAAAGATAATATAATAAATAAGTCGTGGAACTTGCCCGAAACCAACACGTCTGCGTTGAGAAACAGAGTCATGCCCAATATCATCAGGAGCCCCAGGGTTAGGATGTAGGGTCTCCTGCGGCCCCAGGGAGACCTGCAGTGGTCGCTGGCTGAGCCGATGATGGGCTGTAGGATGAAGCCCACGGCTGGGCTGATGAGCCACACCAGGCTGTACAGGCTGCGGGGAAGCCCGATGCTCAACAGCACTGGGGTCACGAAAGCCGCTTCCACAGCGTAGCAGAACTCCCTGCCGAACATGACCAGGCTGTGCATGACCAGCCTCACAGAGGACCTGCTGGGCGGCTCCCCCGACCTCAACATCTCCCCGTCTGCCATCCTCTCACCAGCCGGGACCCCACCTTGGGCAGTGGATCCAAAACTTCTCCAAACCCCTCTGTTAAACGTGTCATTGCCTCCCCCCACCTCACACACTCTCTCTCCCCTCACACTCTCCCTACCCCCACTCTCTCTCTCTCTCTCTCCCCTCACACTCTCCCTACCTCCCCCTCTCTCCCCTCACACTCTCACTACCCCCCTCTCTCTCCCCTCACACTCTCCTACCACCCCCTTCTCTCTCCCCTCACTCTCCCTACCCCTCTCTCTCTCCCCTCACTCTCCCTACCACCCCCCCACTCTCTCTCTCACACTCACTCTCTGTCTTTCTCTCTCTCCCTCTACCACCCCCCTCTCATTCTCTGTTTCCCTTCCTCGCTCTCACTCTCCCACTCTCACTCACTCTCTCTCACCCTCTCACCTGTCTCCGTCCTTCCTCACTCACTCTCTTCCCCTCCCACGCTCTCCCCCTCCCACTCTTACACTCACTCTCTCCCCCTCTCACTCTGTCTCCTTTCCTCCCTCTCACACTCACTCTCTCCCACCTCACTCTCGCACTATCTCTCTCTCATCTTTCTCCCTCTCACTTTGTCTCCACTCATTCACTCTCTCTATTCCTCCCCTCCCTCTCTCTCTTCCCCTCCACCACCCCTTACTCTCTCTTTTTCTCCCTCCTTCACCTCACTCCCTCCCGCTCCTGACTCTCTCTCTCTCTCTGTCTTTCCCCAAGTCCTGCACACAAGCAACTCGTGGTAAACCAGGCAGAAGAAATACTTTACAGGATCTCTTGTGACTGAGATCTTGCCAGAACACAGATTTGGCCATCAAAAAAAGCAAGGCTAACCTTCCCTGTAGTCACAGGCTTCCAATTAGCCAAAGCTCCATTGTATCTGCTGCACAATGGTGAATGGAAATGTTAAATAATGCTCACTTACTTACATAACTGTGTGACAGCCTGGCTCGGTTCATAACAGTCTGGCCTCTGGGCTAGAAGACTGTGAGTTCTCCTTGCCAGGCCCCACTGACTCCATATTATTGAACGGATTGATTTCAACATCTCTTCTCTTCAAATCCCTTTACGCCCCGGCACCTCCCTACCTCTCCGACCCGCTTACTTCCATGTGAAGTTTTGAAGGAAAATGACCGAGGAAATTAGAAGAGGGCCAGAGGATCACCAATTCAGGTGAATTTAAGACTGCACAGAAGGAGTTGAGGGCAATTTTTTTTCCCTGAGGAGTAGATGGAAGTGGGTTCAGAGGAAGGGAATGGGTTGGAGAAGTTAAGGGAGATGAAATAATGGCATGAGTGACCTATTTCAGCATCATAGTGTCATGGGACCTTTAACACCCACCAGAACAGTAGCTCAGTTTAATATCTTGCTTGAAGAACAGTATTTCTGACAATGCAGTACTCCCTCCAAACATCATAATACATCAGGGTACACCATTGAGACCATGGAGCTTATTTGCATGTCAAAGCAACCACGAACAAACCTGCCTGATTCCCCATCACAACTCTTGTGATGTGGTGTCACTCATTGCATGGTGCCAGCCTGGATCAGTTTGTAGTACTTTTGCCTCTGAATTAGAAGGATGTAATTGGAAGCCCCATTTTGGGACTTTGAATGCACATAGCCCTAAACTGACAGTCTAAAACAGTGCTGGGGGTGCGCTGCGTTGATGGGAGGTGCCGTCTTTCGGATGAAACATTAAACTGAGATGCAATACAAAATTACATTTGTCTAGCACCTTTCATAACATAACATGTAGGACCAGGAGTAGACCATTCGGCCCTTCAAGCCTGCCCCGCCATTCAAAAATGGCTGATCTTCTAATCTAACTCCAGATAATAATCTGACCCTGCCTTATCCCCATATCCCTTAATCCCAATTTGCAATAAGAAATCTATCTATCTCAGTCTTGATAGATAGATAGTTCAAGGACTGAGCGTCAACAGCCTGTACTGCCGATGGTAGGGTGGGCCAGGCGGGGGATGTGGAGCAGGCCACAGCCTGCTGAGCGTGGGGAGTGGACAGGTTGTATAGGGTCAGAACGTTGCAGAGGTAAGGAAGGAGCAAGGCCATAGAGGGCCTTGTAGTTGAGGACTTTGAACTCTATCCACAGGGGAATGGGGATGGGAACTGCAAAATTCTGGAGCTAGTGGAGGGAAGAGTTGGAAAGGCCGACAAGCAGGGAGTTGGCGTAGTCGAGCCAGATGTGATGAATGTGTGGATGAGATCCCTTCTGTGTCTGTTCTGGTGTAAGTTAAAGATCCCATCATGCTACTTGAAAAGAAAAGGAAGTTTCTCCCAGTGTCCTGGCCAACAATCCCCTGTTAAAATTGGTCATTCACTTAGTGCACTCTTTGTGCAGCATTGCTGTGTGCAAATTGGCTGCTGTGTTCACCTACAAAACACAACTTGCACTTATTTAGCACCATTCACGTAGCATAGCATCTCAATAATCACTACAGTTTACAGTATATCCTGTGAAGTAATTTGAAACATCCTTCTGACGCGAAAGGCACTAAAGACCTATTATGCTAGTTTAATTGTTTCTGTGGCTAACCTTTCTGGAGGTTGTGTTATTTTTCAAAATATGCTCATGACCGTTTTCCCTTAGTGAATACAAAGGAGCTCCTTTGAATGCAGCCAATGTTCTTCACACTCCTGGTAAATTTTGTTTCACTGGTGACATCCAGATTTGTAACACTGTGGTAAAAATCCAATTTCACACAGTAAACGTTTTGCTTTTGAGGTTTCTTTGGTAGAGCTATGAACCTCCCGTTTCCTAATCAAATTCTTGATGGATATTGTCTTGCAAGTAATTTAATATTGGAAGGACAACTTGTAACATCATATTAATTTGGAGTATTCATACATTTTACTCTGAATGGCCTCAGATATTTTGTCTCAATCTCTGGAACTTCCTCCCTCTACCCCTCCATGTCAGCACTTTTGTCTTTAAATCGCAACTAAAAATCCAACTTTTCACTCACGGTTAGTCATCTCTCCTTCCCCCTCGCTCGATATCCAGCTAGGTCCTTGCAAAGTGCCTCTTCGTGGAGGTTGCTGTATAAAGGCAACCGTGTTGTTGTAATGATTTTCTCCTGTTCTTATAGTCAGTGCGGAATTGGAGTGGGTCTTATTGATCTCCACAAACTGTGATCCCCAAATTGTGTTCAACACTTGTGCATTCAACTAGCCACCAGGAGGCAAGCAGTCTCATTACATCCTATGTCAACTTATGCTACGAGTTTGAAGCGGTGGGGGAGGGGAAGGATAGGACGTATGAGACACCTGTACAACTTTACAGCAATACATTCTGTCTGCATTTCCCTCATTTTATGCAACAAAAATTTAGATAGTTAGAACATTTAATGCAGACGTGATTTATTGTTCAGTTACAATTTGATTTTTGATCATTTCTTCAAAAAAAATCTTTTCCTTCCCCAGACCTCTGCTCCCACCACCAGCTCGGGTGACCAGCCAAGCCAATGTTGTCCTTTTTTTGTAAAAATAATGATCTTAAATAATAATCCATGCATTCGACTCACAGGTGAAAGTGCTACCAACTGAGCCAGGCTGTGAAATCTGTAAAGCGGTTTGAGATGTTTTGATATTACTTGCTCTAAACAAAATGCAAGAATCATTAGTATTATGAATATGTACATAAAGTCTTGCAAACTTAATTTCTTTTAAAAAACACAAATTTGAAAAACAGTGGACAGAGCCCTTTACTCCACTGAGCAAACCAGACATTCCTCTCAAATGAGCCATGCTATAGTGCAGAGTGACACTAAGTACATTTAACATTTTCCCTGAAAGAGGAATTGGTATTCTTCAACTTTCTTGCTGAAAATATAAGACAGCGTCAACAGCACGATTGCATGTTAACAAGCCGTGATCCATGGGGAACGCGCAGTACGCATGCAACCATCTAGATAATTACCTGAGAGAGCATTCTCCAGAAACAGACATAGAATGTTGCTTGCTGTGAATCAACAGGAATTACAAAGTGGACCACAGCTCACAAGAAGTAAATTGCACTTGCAATTTTATGCATGATTTCAATCAATCATTCCAGGGAGCAAAGCAGTTACAATGATTGCAGTGGTGCCCAGAACACTGACGAAAACCGAAGGAACAGATCAGAATTTAAAAATTTGCTTTTAAAACAGGAATGGATACATTTTAATAAAAGCACCAAGTTAATCATAAATAATTGAAATTTCACTTGAATGAATCAAATTGAGATTTCCTCACTGGAAAAGTTCTCATATCAATGTATGAGAGACGGTCAGCCTCATATAAATCCCTCCACACCCTTGCATCTCCTTGCCTCGCCGATCTTCTCCTGCTCCGGCTCTTCTGCTCAGAAAACTCGGGTTTGCTGTGCTCCCTTCCCCACCCCCCCCACCCCGAAGGGGTGGCCATATGCTTCACCCCTAACCTCTGACCATAACTCACTCCCAATGCAGCTGAAACCTTTATCCACGCCTCCATCACCTCCCGCCTTAATTTTTCGCTGGTTTCCCCAGCTCCACATTCATAAAATCGAAATACGCAACTCAAAAGTTTGCTGCCCGTATCCACACCAGTACTAAACTCCACATGCCCAGCATCCATGCAAGCCAGTTTCGAGATCTTTACATTTACTTACAAATCACCTCCCTATCACTCCGACCTGCTCAAACCTTCTCCTCTACCCACCCACTCTTCTTCCCACTCAGCAGGCTCCAGCCTTCTGGATGTCCCTCATCCCCTCTGATCTGCCACTGGCGGCCATGCTTTCAGCCGCGATACCCCAAATCTCTGGCACACCTGCCTCAATCTCTCCACCTTGCCTCCTCCTTGGCCATCTTCAGATTATGCCCAAAGACGCCTCTTCAACCATGTGTACAGTCCTTAGATCAGCATCAAGTTCCGCTAATGTTAAGCTCCCTGAGGTGCAACCCTGTATGAAGTGCACTGTATAAATGTAAGTTGCTGTTGAATCTTAATTCTTTAATATTTAATGTAATTTATGCTGTAAATGTGTACCTATGTACTGGGCTCGTCAGCAGAAGAATCCCAAGAAAATCATTTTGATTATGTTAGAAAGCAAGTCAAGGCAGTGAGTTTGAGTCCCCATCACCACCTCTCCTCTAATGTGTAAGACGTATTACAATTTAGCTTTGGGTCCATTAAGTTCAATAACCTCAGCACATTGCAGTGCATTTATCTGTTCTCTGGTGAAGCCATATTCCATCAACACAGCTTCGGTATGTTCGCCGACTTTCGGGTCTCTTGCCAGACTGACGCAGGCAGGAGTCCGAGACAGATGAGGGGCTGGTCTAGGGCTCACTTGTCCGTCCTCGTCAGTAATAAAAGACCCCCGGTCTTGGTTATGTGGGTACCTGGAAGCCTCTTGCAGAGACAGGACAGGTGTGACACAAGCGTCAATGTTATCAAAGATCTTGCACCACACTGCTTGGCTCTTGCTTGCAAAGATCTTGGTAAAAATTCTCTTCAACTCTGGCCAGTCAGATAAGCTCATCTGAGGAGGCAGCTCACTCGAATTTAAGCCCAGTCCTGGCATGAAATGCAAAGAAAAGAGGTCAGCCCACAAACATGGTTTTTACAACGTGAAGTGCTGCTTGAAAATCTACTGTTTTTTTTTGCTCAGCTGGGTGTCCGACACGCGTGGCAACCATCAAAACACTTAAGAGAATTCAAACCAGAATTCCACGTATGTACGTTACCTGTAGCTCAGTGGTTAGAGCACTCGCTTTGCAAGCGAGAGACCTGAGTTCAATTCCAGGCAGAGGGCGAAACCTTGGGCAAGTTTCCTTACTCCACACGCCTGATAATAATCCCTCCAAAATACAAAACAATAATGGGTCATTTTCAATCCACGACTGTTTGTGGGACATTGCTGTGCGCAATTGGCTGCCGCGTTCGCCCACAAATATAGTCAATTCACTTTACAGTGTGTTCTGTGAAGCGCTTTGGGACGTCCTCCCGACGTGAAAAGCGCTATATCAAATGCAAGGATTATTATTATTATTATTATGTGTGTGTGTGTTGGGGGTACTGCTAGAGTTCAACCACCTCTTAGCTTACCATTGAAAACACTGTCTGACAAGCTTCACTGCTTGTCTAGTAAGGATCAGATAGAAAATCTATTTGTTCGGGTCACAGAGTTAAGTTAAGTTACTCAACAAACCAATATCCCAATGATATACACAAGTGTGCTCGACAGTTAGCTTTTGTAACATAATGTGCTAAAGCTTACCGATAACCCCTTTAATTTTACTTCCAGGTCAGACTTTTCAGCCAAATACCATGATGAATTCGAACCAACCTAATCCCTTATAATACAATCCTGGTCTCGCCTCCCATTATGGGTGGATCCACACTCGTGACTCTTTCCAATGTCTGGTTTAACCTGGTGAAAGGGACACAACCTCATTGGGGTGACTTACCCCTCTCTCCCCCACTCCTAATGTTACTCATTGAGTAAACACCAGCCTACTTCAAGTTCACAGCCCTGCACGACCCACCATCAGCGGACAAACTTTCAGTTATTCTGCCCCTGGCTCTGCAACTCCTGGAGTCCTTCCAACTCTCTCTCTCTCTCCCCACGTTCAAAATTTACCAATGCTGCTAATTGGCGTACCACCAAATCAACTGACTGAAGGAATATCTTACTTACGACGTCAGAACTGATCCTTTTTCTACAAAATACGCAAGGATCCCAGACAAGATCTATTATTCTCAGAACCGATGTGAATTAAAAGATCATAAGGCTGCTATAATGGCATTAGGCCAGGAACATTACTAAGGAAGAAAATGCCACGAAATTACTGAAAACAATAACTTGTGTTTTAAAAAAAACTGAATCAATCTGACATTAACAGGTTCAATTGGGGAAAAGATTCTTGAAGAATAAAGAGTTAAAGAAAGATAAGTTTCACTTTGTTTAAGGAATAGATTCTAAGCGCTCTGAGACACTACCCTGCGTGGAGGACGCAATATAAGTGCAAGTTGTTGTTGTAGTTTAGCTTTACTTCAAATGCCGCTGCAGTGCTTAGAACATGCAACAAACTGAGAGATAGACAGATGTTTGGACAGTAGATTTTAAGGGGCATGGCAAAAGGACAGTGCAATGCGATTATATATCATAGAATTAGGCACAGATGGCCATTCAGCCCATCGTGTCTGTGCCGGCTATTTAAAAAGAACTATCCAATTCAATCCACTCCCCCACAACCCTACAAACTTGTCGTCTCCAAATAAGTATCTACTTCTCTCTTCAGCGCCTTGGGACGTCCTCCCGACGTGAAAGGCGCTCTATAAATGGAATCTTGTTGTTGTTGTTAAAAGCTGTTATCGCATTGGCTTCCACCACCCTTTCAGGCCATGCATTCCAGATCTGAACAACTCGCTGTGTAAAAAAATTTCTCCTCACCTGCCCTGTTTCTTTTGACAACTATTTTAAATTGGCGTCCTCAGGTTACCGACCAACCTGTGGAAATAGTTTCTCCTTGTTCACCCTAATGAATCCCCTCATAATTTTGAAAACTTCTATTCAGTCTCCTCTTAACCTCTCTGCTCCAAAAATAATCCAAGCTTCTCTAGTCTCTCCTGATGACAGAAGTCCCTCATTCCTGGTACCATCCTGGTAAATCTCCTTTGCACCCTTTCCAATGCCTTTACATCCTTACTAAAATGTGGTTCCCAGAACTGAACACAGTCTCTAGCTGAGGCCTAGCCAGTGTTTTATAAAGGTTCATCATAACTTCCTGACTTTTATATTCTATGCCCCTATTTATAAAGCCTAGTATCCCGTATGCTTTTAAAACAGCTTTATCTACCTGTCTGCCACCTTCAAAGATTTACTTATATGACCCCTCAGGTCTCTCTGTTCCTTCATCCCCTTTAAGATTTTACCGTCAGCTTATATTACCTCTCTCATTCTTCCTCCCAAAATGCATCATTTCGCATTGCTCCACATTAATCCTCATCTGCCAAGATCTCATAAACTGTTAGAACATACAGCGTCGTTGAGCTTGAGAATGCTACTGGACTGAATCACTCAGTTACACATATGCATCATGGAAAGGAAAGAGAAAGGAAAAGGAGGCAAGAGCTCTTTCTGTCCTCTGCTAGCAATAAGTAAGACTATAGTGTTTGTCTCCACTTGCAAGACTGTCCTGTTCACACATAGTCTTAAGGCATCGGATGCTAGTCCCATCATAAACCTGTGAAAGAACAAGATTCACAGACAGGAATTTGCCCGTCTGTTAATCCAGGAATTGATATTCGTGACAGTCTCCTTGCATGGAATTTAAAGCCCGTGTTATGTAATCAAAAGGCATTCTCCACGGGAACCATTAAAATGAAATGCAATTCAATTTCTTTACATGCATTTTACTTACACCAGACTGCGTAAACTCCAGGCGTGGAAACAAAATTAACTTCACATTGTGATCCAAAGGCCAAGCTCCCTTTCCCCTAATTTCCTTCTAATGGGAGTACTTTCTATTTGTCACAAGTCCACCTCGATACCCACTTGCTGAGAAAATCCATTACCAGGAAAATGTCAGGGAAATTGTTTGAGGCAGAGATTACCAGAAAGAGAAGGTGCCATAGTATATCCTCTATCTCAACTGTGTGAAAAATGATTGGGAACAAACTATTTGACAGGGGCTCTATTTGGCCTCAGAGAATCATCTCAGACAACACTTTCTGTGTGTGTGTGTGTGTGTGTGTGTGTGTGTGTGTTGGTGTAAGTGGAGTGGAGGGGGGGGTCTATAATAATAATACTTTTATTATTTAGCACTTTTCACGTCTTCTGGATCATAGAATGTTACGGCACAGAAGGAGGCCATTCGGCCCATCGAGTCTGTGCCGGATGTCTCAAAGTGCTTCACAGATTATGCGGTAAAGTGAATTGACTGTATATTTGTGGGTGAAACGCGGCAGCCAATTGCACATAGCAGTGTCCCACAAATAGTCTTGGATTGAAGTGACCAATTTATTATTATTTTTGAAGGAATTATTATCCCCAGAAAAGTGATCCACCAATTGACTAACAACTGGGTTCCTACTTACTGCTAGGTAAACAGAAGCATGTGGAGTAAGGAAATTTGCCCAACATTTTGCACACAGCAGTGTCCTACAAACAGTCGTGGGTTGAAGTGACCAATTTATTATTGATTATTTTCTTTAGGGATTATTATCAGGCATGGTGTAAGGAAACTTGCCCAACATTTTGCCCTCCAGGAATCAAATCCAGGTTTCTCGCTTGCGACTCGAGTGCTCTAACCACTGAGCTACAGGAATGGAAAGTAAAACTGAGCACGACTCAATGGAATTAATCCTTGCATTTGTTATTGCACCACCATTAATTTTGGGATAACCCACACGAGCCGAAAGAAACACAACAAAAGGTAAACTTTGTAAAGGTCATTGTTTGGAGTGTTGCATTAGGCAATTGGGCAGGTTAGCGCCTGTTGCAAATTACTTTTTAAATTCCTTCAAATGTATCTATACAATATGAAAAACAGCATTTGTCCCCATCAGACATTTGAGAGCTGATAGCCTACTGCAGTAATTGCAAAGCTCACTTCCTCTTGATGCAATAATAAGTGATTTCAGTGATTTTTTTTTAAATTTTGAAGAGTAAAAACATTTATCAAGCCTGTCAAACAAAATACACGTTACACAAAACACAACATTACTGTAGACATCTCAACGCTGTGATAAAGCACTATGTCAAATCCAATGATTATTACTCACATGCTTTGGGATCCGTAATTACTTAAAACACTGTTTAATTGCGTTTTAACACTGCTTAGCTCAGATAACCATTGGTCACAACAACACCAGTGTGGTGGGTGAGCTTAATTACTCCCGGATTCGCAGAGATTTTGGATACTATCATGAACTTAACCTTTTCAGAACCACAACACTTCACCCTCAAAAGTAAAGGTGATAAAGGGGTGATTTTATTATAGTGACAGTTATTCTCTCCGTCTCCTACAGTGCCTGCCCTTCTCTCTCTCTCTCCCATAATGCCAATCCAGGAAGTGTGCTCGTGTGCGCCGGAGGCAATGATTAACTTATATTTTATTTTGGACCCATTATAACAAGCCATCTAATCTTATGGACCTCAAACATGTTGTAACAGATTGCCCTGTAGCAATAAACCGGATGAACTGTTAGAGCTGTCTATACACACACCAACATAGACTTTTAGAACCTATAGCTCACTTCAATGGGAAGAAGAATTTTTTTTCAAATAATAGCTTTGCATTTGTTATGGGCCAAAAATGCCAAAACATTTCAAAGCACTTCACATTACTGTATAGTGTCTCTTATTTCTGGGCAAATGTGGTCATCAATTTACACACGTCTATTCCCAACAACAGTCATGAAGTGAATTGACTAATTTATTTTGAACGACAGGGTGGGAGAATCTCCCGTCTCTGTTCAAATACATTGAGGCACAAAACGAATACAGTAACACCATTAAGTATATCCTGTGAAGCGCCTTGATACGCCTTGAGATGTGTAATAAGGCGCTATATCGAAATGCCAGGGTTATCGTTATAAATACTCCCAGGATCTTTAACGTCTGGCTGACAGGCCTTGGTTTGACGTGTGATCCGAAGGATGGTGCCTCTGACAATACAGTTTCCCCCAGCATGACACTGGAGTGCCAGCTTGAACTGCGAGCTCTGAAGTTGTTTAAAGGGAATTACTGTAAACTTTGAAAGTAGACTTACCTTCTATTAGTCTGTCATAGAACTGAGGTTCCAAAGCGCCGACAGCCATGTACTTCCCATCAGACGTCTTGTATGTCTCGTAGAATGGCGCCCCAGAATCCAGGATGTTCTCACCTCTCGGCTTATCCATTAGGCTCAGTTTTTGAGATTTCCATAGCCAAGAGCTACAATAAGCTGCTCCTTCAACCTGGCAAACACCACAGATTTAATAATAATAAGTAAAACAATCCTTGCATTTAATAAATCACCTTTCATGTTGGGAATGTGTCTCAAAGCGATTTAGGAACAACTTGGTTTTATATAGCGCCCCTCACATAAGGTAGTATCCCAGAGTTCCTGTCAGTAGCAGAGCACAACACAGATCCAGGGGGAGGTGACAACAAGTTGCAATTATATAGCACCCTTCACGCAGGATAGCATCTCAAAGTGATTCTCTCAAGTGTAGTGACTGTTGTTATTGTAGGCAAATATGATATTAGCACACAGCAATGTCCCACAAACAGCGATGAAGTGAATGACCAATTTTATCTATTGTTCAGCACACCAGAAGAAATTCTCTTCACTTTTCAAATAGTGTTATGGTTTCTTCAATATCCATCTGACCAGGCAGATGGAACGTCAGTGAAAGTTGACATTTAAAAGGTGGCATTTTGAACAATGCAGTCTCCCTTAACCGAGACTGAGATCAAGGTCCCGATGCGGGACTTGAACCCACAACCTTGTGACTCAGAGATGAGTGCTACTAACCGAGCCAGGCTGATGCACAATGTGCTGCCATCCATTTTTTGAAAAACATTCTACTCAGGGAAGGTACACTTTTATTGAATGGGATTTTCTTGAATTCAGGAACCACAGCACTAATTCTCTTTTTTTTGGTCAGCCAGTTATCTGACACACGGAAACCCATCATCATGCTTAAGAGCAAACCAAACTGACATTTCCATGCAGCCGATATACATGGAATGCATTCTATTTGTTTGGTCAAGATATTAGGAATAAGAGGTTTGGATAAAGGCCTTCGTCTCATTTCATCTAATCCCCTCTGAATACCTGCCCTACCATGCTTCCTAAGAGCATCAAGCTGTTTTTTTAAAAATGAGTTCCAGTGTCCTGGCCTCAACCAGCCTCCTAGCAACCTCTTGCAGTCGTTAATTACCCTCTGGGTAAAGAAATCTCTGCTGCTCTCTGTCCTACAATTGCCCTTTGCAACTCTAATCGTATGTCCTCTTGTCTACTCTCTTGGTTCATCTGAAAGTATTGTTTTCAGTTTACTCTTTTGAATGGTATGTGTTTGCATATAAATATGCAGTCAGTACACTTAACAGTGTATTCCTGTGCAGTGTTTCATAACATTTTGATGATTTGATAAGGCTCTGTATCAAATGCAAGGATTATTGTTTTGCAGCAAGAGACAGACTTTCAGGAGAGCAACAATGAGAAAAATAAAAATGTAATTTTAGTGTTTATGTCAGGATGACATCTCAATGTGCTAGACAGTTGAGGCTTTGCACTTGAGTAGGGGGTTGGTTTCGGGAGGAGTATGGACCAAGAGGGTGTGGGGAGGGAGGGGAAAGATGACCAAAGGCTTGGTTAAAGAGGCAGGTCTCAAGATAGCCCTTGAAGGAGGCAAGAGAAGGGGCAAAGTGAAGGGACTCCAGAGAGTGGGGACAGAAAGGCTGAAAGCCCGACGGCCAATAATGGATAAGGCAAGGCAGGGAACATAAAGCAGGCCAGTACCTGCCAATCGGAGGGAGTGGACTAGTTGGTAGAATTTAGGAATGAACACAGATTGAGGTTCTAGCTCACCATGCTTGCGTCGATGACTTGTCCTTTCCCCGAATGTGTCCTCTCAAACAGCGCCAGAATTATACCCATTGCACACATAAGCCCACCTCCTGCAAAGTCTCCCAGAAGGTTCACTGGTGCACAGGGATTCTCACCTTTCCGACCAAAATTGGAAAGAAGACCTGAGTTCCAAAGAAACGTCACTTTAAGTTGATCAAAAATTATTACAGCTGCATCACTTCCTATCGTAAACATTGACATGAAACAGTTTAAAAAAACATCTCAGTCAGACGTTTTGCAAAGCAATCCAATGGTAAAAAGCTCTTCCCAACATAAAAGGAGAAAAGATCATGGAGCAAATCAATTATTATCACTAGCAAAATGGTTGTTATGGATGCATGCCTAACAATTCCACTCCGATCCAGTTATTTTGTATATGGTTATCTTCTTCCCTCCCCCATCCCCCTCTTAACCCCTTCCCAAATTGTAACTTCCTCAACCACTTTCCAGTACTATTTCCAACATGAAAGGAATTTTTAAAAAATATATTAGTTCGATTTCTGCTGAATTTGATAGTGATAAAACGGCTATACATACCTGCCAGAGAAATAAAGTTGATATCGTGACCCGCTTTACTGGCATGCCGCCCATTCTGCCCAAACCCCGTTAGTCTGGCATAGATTAGCTTTGAATTCTGCTGGAGTAAATCTTTGGGGCCCAGACTCAACTTCTCCATTACTCCTGGAAAAGAAGGGCTTGTTTTGTTGATGCATTTACAAACTAGTCATCTAGTTACTATTGTGGTGATTCTGCAGAGTTAAGAACTTGGAAAACAATGTCAATAACAATTTCATAGCAGGTATGAGCAATGGAGTAACAGGACACTGATCCGAAGGGTCATAGGATCAGTGAGTCACTGATCTCAGCACTGTGACACCAGACTATAACTCTGGCCTCCTCAAATCTGGCCACCAACAGTGATGGTCTGAGGTTAGATCATCAAAAGATCAGTCTGACTCAGGTGGTAACACTTTTGCCTAAGCCAGAAGTCCCACATCCCACGGTCTCAAGTGTAGTGCTGGAGATGTGATACATTGAAGCAGGTCTTTTGGATCAGACACTAAACTGCCTGTCCAGGTGGATGATCCCATGGCACTATTTGAAATGAGAAGGGAGTTTCTCCCAGTGTTATGACCAACAAACCCCACAAATAAAATTGGATCATGGCTGTTTGTGTGATCCTGCTGTGTGTAAATTGGCTATCACATTCACCTACAAAATATGGTCACCACACTTCAGTGATGTGATAAACCCAATGAAGTGCTTTGAGATAGCTCGACATGATAAGGCATTGTATCAAATGCAAGGATTATCATCAATAAATGGCCCGGCACCTATGACTTCTTTGGATTAAAGGAACATATTTCTCTTTAAATTGATGCAATACATCCTGAGCAATGTATTGGAGTATCATCTTAGACAAGAGTTTCTCAACCCATGGGTTGTGACCTGGGATTGAGTTGTTGGGGGTAGGTTGTTTGGGAGATACTCCCTTTTCGAATGGTGCCATGCGATCGCCACCTGAACAGTCAGACAGGCCTTAGTTTAACGTCAGAATTTGAAGGTTTATGCATTTTGTGGGGTTGTTTTGGGATATTGAACCTGTGTTTCTGTCTGTCGTCGGGAGTTTATCATTGGCTTATGGTTGGGAGTTCTTGAAGTGATTCTTCTGCTGTTTTGGGTGCTGTACTGATGTAGGTGGGCGGATTTTGCGGCTTTGCTTGTGGTATGGCTATCGGCTGGCTGCAGGGCTTTCTTTGCTTCCACCAACTTTGCCAGGTGGATGGGCCAGGCTGTCCGGTTGCTGGTAGCCCAGCCTTCTACTCTTGTCGGCTCACTTTCTGTGGCACATTTTGATCTGGACACACACAGGAGTGCACTATTGGCTATATTTGGTGGGCCACAGGTTTATTGCACTGAGGATGTTTACTGTCTTCTGCAGGCCATCTGGGTTTGAAAGTGGGTCATGAGCCCAAAAACATTGAAACTACTAACTTAGACTATATGGGTTCCAAGTCCCGATTTGGAGCTTGAACCTACAACCTTCTGACTCAGGCTAAAGTGTTACCAACTGAGCTAGGCCACCACAGCATTGCTTTTGTGATCTGGGAAAGTTTACACAGAAGTTTCACTCAGGGGATTATAACAAGGTTTGTCACAGCTCGCTAATTTAGCTGAGAAACCTAGCTGAGACAGGCTTGGCAGGTGAGCGCACTATTTTCTCCAGACAATAAAATTAGTGACTGTGATGGCATGGGCTCATAATAGGACCCAAGACAAGTCAAGCAGAGCACAGTAGGTTATTAGTGTTACTGTAAGGGGCTGCTTAAAAGGGAGTCATTTAGGTCATTTAAAGGAGAAACAAAATTACTTCATCAGAAAACATTGATCAGTAACAAGCCTTTCCTGGTTGACTGTTCAGAAATGTGAACGAGCCCGAAGAGACGCCTTCGATATATGAGCACTCTGCATGCTTCAATGGACTTGAATTTTATGGAGACGTTGAGAATGTAAACACTCAAAAGAGGAGACTTAGTTTATTGGAAGCTGCCTTCACGATGGATGAAATGTAAGCACACAGACAACATTGTAGGTTGGTATCAATTGTACCAATGAAAAGGCTGAAGATCGTTGGCATGCTTGCCAACAATCCTCCAGATAAAATTGATTATTCACTTTATAATGAATGATCCTTGTATTTGACACAGCGGCTTTCATGTTGGGAGGGCGTTTCAAGGTTCTTTGCAGGATTTACTGTAAAGTGCAGTGGCTGTGCACGACACCCAGTTCTGCACACCAAGGTCCCACAAACAGCAAAATGAAATTAATGACCTAATTTTATCTAGAGGAGACTGGGACTGGGATAAACTCACTTCTCTTTTTGAATAGCGCCTTGGGATCTTTAATATCCACATGAACAGATATACAAGTCCTTGGCTTAACGTCTCATCCAAGTGATGGCAGCTTTAAAAACGTAGCAATCCTCAAGCACTGCAATGGAGTCAGCCAGTCACTATGCGAGTTCAAAGTACAGACATGGTGGTTGAACCTACAACCTTCTGACTCAGAGAAGAGAGTGCTTCTGTCTGAGCCAGGCTGACACTCACAGCTGTTTGTGAGACATTGCTGTGCACAAAATCAGCTGCTGTATTCGCCTGAAAAATTCAATCTCTATAGTTTACAGTGAAATCCTGTGAGGCATTTGGAAATCCTATTGAAGTGGTATGAACTTTATAAAATGGAAGGATTTGTAGGGAATATGATTATCTTACCTTTACGGAAAGGCTCAATTAGAACATCAGACTGAATGCACAGCTTCTTCAGTACTTCTGCTCCTTCTGGCTTCTTTAGGTCCAAAGCGATTGAGCGTTTGCCTCTTCCCTGCACATCAACAGTTGTCATTATTCTTGTTCGGTCAACCCGCACCACCTTGGCGCCAAAATCTGCTAGTATCATCCCACACAGAGGGCCAGGTGCCAGACCAGCAAGTTCTATTATCTTGATCCCTGACAGAACCATTGCTTTGGAGCTGCAAGAGAGATCTCTGAGAAAACAAGGTACATTTATAAAGTTATAACAGATCTGCCGCTCTGAGGACATAAAAGAAACAGACATCTATTAAGTTACAGACTGTGAAAAACATATTCAATAATAATCCTTGCATCTGATAGAGCTTATCAAATCATTGAGATATCTCAAAGCACTTCACATGATATACTATAAAGTAGTGTGACTGTGTGTATGTTTTGGTATTTTACAATCCATAATAGAACCATAGAAATTTACAGCACTGAAGTTGCCCATTCGGACTATTGTGCCTGTGCTGGCTCTTATGAGAATCCTTCAGTCCTTTCCCCGTAACCCTCCAGTTTCCTCCTTTTTAGATATCCATCTACCTCCCATTTGAAAGCTATTATGGATTCTGCCTCAAACACCATCCCAAGCGAGGCATTCCATTTCCTGTGTGTATTCTTTTCTTAATTATTCCATTTACTAACTATCTTAAATTGATGCCCTCTAGTCACTGACTCACAGAACACCACAAAAGAACGGACGGTCAGAGAGTCTGTTTACCTATTCGAAAAGAATGCCCTGGAAGAAAATGGTCATTAACTTCATGGGACACTGCGCGATAACAAGCCCTGTGAAACACTTTGAGACATGTTCCCAGCATGAAATCAGAAGCAAAAATCAGTATTTTTTGTTGTTAAACAGGTTTATGACAGTGAGGGGGCCAAATAGATTGTTCAGTTGGGGCAATTGGGTGTTTAGTTTTCTCCAAATCCTAAACATTCATTGTGCCGATCAGACAGACAGACGTGTGGAAGTGCACTTACAGAGAAAATTGACCACCATTCACCATTGGTAACGTAACCATTCTGGCATGATAGCAGCAGCATTCTTTATGCATCTCACATGGGGACAGTGAACTTAATATAACAGAGGCATCATAGAACCTTGCATCACATGGGCTCAGTGTGATCTTCTGACTTGCTTTTATATTAAATAAATCCTTTTAAACAGTAACAAGAACGCGGATTATGCCAAAAACACAGTCATCTGCATTCAGTTTTCAAGATGTAAGAATCTGCTTTCTTTCAGAATTGTCCGTACGCAAGGGACATCGTGTGATCAGTGGTAAAGTTAATACAGATTTTTTTTAAATGAATTGACAGATTCTGAATTGCTAGGCAAAGCATGTGATGGAAAAAGGTTATCTTTTTACTGGAGGACTGAATGCTCTTTGAACAAGCAAATATTGCCATGCACATATTTATTGTTAGCACTCGGTCAAGGCAAAAGGATATTCATGTAAACGCTAAAATTATTTCTGCTTAGGGTCCTGCTTCCCACTATTGTCCACAACCATTGGAGGCCGATCTCATAGAGATGTAGCCCATCAAATGCAGGTTCTCAGAACTGCTCTTTGAATGTTGTACATAAAACCCCAATCTCAAAGTTCCAACTATTGCAGGGTTCACCTATAAAATAGTCACTGCATTTTACAGTGAATCCTGTGAAGTGCTTTAAGATGTCTCGATGTCCTGGCTCTTTTAAGAGCATCCTTTCAAACCCATTTACCTGCCCTTCCCCCCTGAAGCGAACTCCCTTTTTTAGGTATTTTAGTCCCGTTTGAAAGCCAATAGGGATTCTGCTTCAACCACTGCTCACGGTGGCATTCCATTTCCTAACAATTTGCGCGTGAACAAAATTCTAAGCTTCTTATTTGCAAGGATACTTATTGTAAATTTGTGGAATTCCAATATTTCCTATAATCGCACTATGGTTCCTCCAATATAATCTTTACCACACACGCGCACACAAAAATCATAAGATCACAGATGTTCAATTTCATCCTTCCAGAATACCCATTACAGCATCAAGCCATTTTTTAAATTGAGTAAGCATCTGGCCTCCATTACCCTACAACAACAACAACATTTCATTTATAGAGCGCCTTTCACGTCGGGAGGACGTCCCAAGGCGCTGTACACTTGGGTCAGGACCCGAGCAAGGGGAGAAATGGTGAGGGGAGGGAAGGGAGGGAGCAAGGAGGGGGTAGAGAGTCGAGAGGGGAGCTGAAGGCACGGTCAAAGAGAAAGGTCTTGAAACCGGCCTTGAAGGAGGAAAGGGAGGAGGCGGCGAAGGCACTGGGGGAATAGAGTTCCAGAGCCTAGGGGATGAGAGGCTGAAGGCCCGATCACCGATGGTAGGGCGGTTGGGGCGGGGGATGTGGAGCAGACCAGAGCCAGAGGAACGGAGGGTATGGGCAGGTAGGTAGGGGGATAGTAGGTTGGAGAGGTAGGAGGGAGCAAGGCCGTGAATGGCCTTGTAGGTGAGGATCTTGAATTCGATCCTCTGGGGGATGGGGAGCCAGTGGAGGCGAGCGAGGGTGGGAGTGATGTGGTCACGAAGTCTGGTGCGGGACAGTACACGAGCTGCAGAGTTCTGAATGACCTGCAGTGTGGAGGGAGGTGGCGGGAAGGCCGGCGAGGAGAGAGTTCCCATAGTCCAGCCTTGAGGTGATAAAGGCGTGAACCAGAGTTTCAGCAGCGTGAGGGGTGAGGTAGTGCCGTAGTCTGGCGATGTTTCGGAGGTGATGGAAGGCGGTGCCAGTTGTGGCGCGGATATGAGGAAGAAAGGACAGCTCAGGGTCAAACAGAACCCCGAGGTTCCTGACGGCTTTGAGAGGTGGAGAGTGCAGCCTTGGATGCTGATGCTGTCAGCGCCTGAGGTGCGGAGGCGCTGACGTGAGCCAATCAGGAGGGCCTCAGTTTTGCGCACGTTGAGCTGAAGAAAGTTGTCTCTCGTCCAGGACTCGATGTCGGACAGGCAGGCTGTCAGGACATCGGTGGTCATGGAATTGAGGGTAGAGGAGGAAAGGTAGAGTTGGGTGTCATCCGCATATATGTGGAAGTTAACCCCATGTCTGCGGATGATGTCACCACAGGGGGAGCATATAGAGGGTGAAGAGGAGGGACCGAGGACAGAGCCCTGAGGGACATCACACGAGACAGTGCGGGGGCCGGAGGAAAAGCCGTTTGTGGAAACAAAATGAAGACAGAGGGAGAGGTACGACCTAAACCACTCAAGGACAGGGCCTTGAAGGTTGAGGTGGGAGGACAAGCGGTGGAGGAGGATAGCCTGGTCGACCGTATCGAATGCTACCGATAGGTCGAGGAGCACGAGGAGGCAGAGGAAGCCCTGGTCGCAGATGGTCAAGATGTCATTGATGGTCAAGATGTTCAGCGTTCCCTTCACAACCTTGAACCTGTCCTCTTGTTCTGATGCCTTGGGGTATCTAAATATACTGTTCTGTGTTTCCTTTCTTAATTCCACTTAACATTTCAGAAGCGCTCTCTCAGGGATACTCTTTTCAAGGCTGAACAGCCCCAGTTTATCCAATTGCTCCACTCGCTACCTTGTACACAGTTAAACTACGGGACAATTCAAACTACAGTACTTTTAAAAAACGTATTATACTTGTCCCGATTGTCTGGTCAAAACAAATGCAAGTATTCCGGTGGATACAACATTGCCTGCATGTGCTACACAGAGATTAAGATTGATCAATTAATGATGTTTACAGTGCTCCGAGAACTTACCCTTCTATCCTTCGTGAAGGGAAATGCAAATTGTTTAACACAGCCATCAAATGAAACAAGGAATTGTGTTCAAAAGAGGAAAGCTGAACAGAACATTACTTGAATAAATAAATCTTGCATTTAATGTAGCACCTATAATGCTAAAACTTCTAAAAGGGCTTTTGCAGGCAAATATTTTACAACTTGTACTTTGTACGAACATGCCGGGTCAAATAAACATGGTAAGCAAGCAAACTGTACGGGTTCGAAGCTTTTACAGGTCACCCTAAAAGCACAAAGTCCTTTGTTAAACTGAGGGTGTGCCTGCCTGTCTGGATGGATGTTTAAAGATCCTGCAGCGATATTCAAAAAGAGCAGGGAGTTTCACCTGATGTCCAGTGCCTTGGGGACATCCTCCCGATGTGAAAGGCGCTGTACAAATGTAATTTTGTTTTTGTCGTCCTGGCCAACAATCCCTAAATAAAAATCACACCATTCACTTCATGGTTGCTGTGGGACATTGCCATGTGCAAATCGGCTCCTGCGTTCACCTACAAAGTAGTCACTGTACTCTTATCACTGTGAAGCCCTTTTGAGACGGCTCAAAGATGTGACATGCAAGGATTAATTACCGCTATAAACACCCCCACACATGCCCAGGCACTAGTTGCTAACAGTAATATTAATAATAATCCTTGCATTTGATACAGCGCTTTTCACGTCTTCTGAACGTCCCAAAGCGCTTCACAGAAAAGACTGTAAAGTGAATTGACTGTATATTTGTGGGCGAAACGCGGCAGCCAACTGCGCGCAGCAGCGTCCCACAGTCAGTCGTGGTGTGAGATGACCAATTCGTTATTGTTTTGAGGGTAGCGCGGGAGATGCTTGAAAACTAAAATGAGATGAGAGAGAGAGAGAGAGAGAGAGACAAGACAGCGCAGCGCCCGCCAACGCATTTCAACCCGCGGCGGCCGCTGCAACGTAGGATAACAACGACGACAGTAATAATAATGACAGGCATCAGAAAATCAATCACCATTCGCATGCAACACGGCAGGTGCTGTGGGGTCTGGCTGGCCAACCGCTCAGGAGTGAACCTCCTCACAGGCCAGAGATTTAAACTGTAAATAACGACGGCAATCACAGTACTTATGAGCAGGAGCTGCACACTGCCGAGTGTGACTGACACACACACACACAGAGAGCGAGAGAGAGTGGGGCCGACAAGGCGAGGGGGGGGTGGGGGAAGGGGGGGAGAGAGAGAGCACCCACCGGTTGAGGAGGTGGTGAGACTGGAGCGGGTCCAGGGCAGAGCGGAGAGCAACGCAACGCGTGTGGGGCGCGGGGGGAGGGCGGGGAGACACAGACCAGCGCCGGGAGGTGGCAGTTAGTGACCGTCCATCCCGCGAAGTGACAGTTGGTGACCCCTGACCTTGACCGTTGGTGACCGAATCTCTCTCACTCACTCACTCACACACCCCCGAACACTAATGAACCGGGGGGGGGGGGTGGGGGGTGTGGGGGGTGTGTGGGGGGGGTTGTGGTGTGGGGGGGGGGGGAGTGTGGGGGTTGTTATTAAACGACCGCTTTTAGAAACCTATTTGTTTTGGCGCCCGCGCGCCGCCCGCCGCCCGCTCACCGTCCGGCCACGTGACGTGCCGTGACCTGACTTCCGGCGCTCGCGCGCACTGACCAACCCGCCCCCGTTCCTCATTGGCTATCTCGCTCTGGCCCCGCCCCCTCCGCCACTCATACCCCACACGCCCCTCCCCCCACACACTCACTCACTCACTCACTCACACCCCTCCCCCCACACTCACTCACTCACTCACACCCCTCCCCCCACACTCACTCACTCACTCACTCACACCCCTCCCCCCACACTCACTCACTCACTCACTCACACCCCTCCCCCCACACTCACTCACTCACTCACTCACACCCCTCCCCCACACCCACTCACTCACTCACTCACACCCCTCCCCCACACTCACTCACTCACTCACTCACACCCCTCCCCCCACACTCACTCACTCACACCCCTCCCCCCACACCCACTCACTCACTCACACCCCTCCCCCACGCACACTCACTCACTCACACCCCTCTCCCACGCTCACTCACTCACACCCCTCCCAGACTCACTCACTCACACCCCCCCCCCACACTCACTCACTCACACCCTCCCAACACACTCACTCACTCACTCACACCCCTTCCCCCACACTCACTCACTCACTCACACCCCTCCCCCACACCACTCACTCACTCACACCCCTCCCCCACGCACACTCACTCACTCACTCACACCCCTCCCCACCACACTCACTCACTCACACCCCTCCCACACACACACTCACTCACTCACACCCCCCCACACACACACTCATATCCCACACCCCCCCACACACTCATACCCCACACACCCCCACACACACTTATACCCCACACCCCCTACACACACTCATAACTCACCCCCCACACACACTCATAACCCATCCCCCACACACTCATACCCCCCACGCCCCCCCCACACACTTATACCCCCCCCCCACACACGCATACCCCCCACGCCCCCCCCCCCACACTCATACCCCCATGCCCCCCCCCACACACACTCATACCACACACCCCCACACACACTCATACCCCTAACACACATAAACTCCCCTCAATCACACCTTCCCCAACACTGTACCCTCACAACCCCATATACACCAACACCCCCCATAAACACACACAAAATCCTCTCCCCCCCACACACACACACATCCCCCAACGCCCTCACATCCCCTCACACATAAACTCAGCATCCCCCTCCCACCCACAGCAATACCACCCCCTCCACCACACACAAATACAAACGACCTCCCCCCACCCCCCCCCACACACCAACAACCTCCACCATCAATGCTGAGCAAATAAAATTAGGATCACTGTTCAATAAAACTGAACAGACAAACCCTGATTTGTGATGCCAGACACTGGTATTGGTGCATACTTACACGTAACTTATAAATGGACCTCATTAAAACCTGTGACTGAACAGACTGCATAGGCATTTCGTCAAAGTGCCAGGCTCCCATTATACTATAATTATAATTATATTATAATAACCCCTCCAAAACAAAACAATAATACATTTTCAATCTACAACTCTTTGTGGGACACTGCGCAATCGGCTGCCGCGTTTGGCCCACAAATGTACCCTCAATTCACTTTACGGCATATTCTGTGAAGCGCTTTGAGACGTCTAGAAGATGTGAAAATAGTGGAAATAGTGAAAATAGGCGGGCATAGTGGTTGAAGACTTGTCCTCTGATGACATGACAGAAGAGGTGGGAGGAACACGCCACAGGTCGGCATTTGCTGAGCTGATGGAGCGAACGGAGTGAGGCTAGAGAAGACGCCCTAGGTAGTGAGGTGCAAAAAGGGCATGAAGGTTTGTAAGTCGGATGTGGGGGGGGGGGGGGAGGGAGTGCATAAAATTCATCTGGCTTCCCCACACTATAAAAATGGCTAACTTCTGGGTCACCAGTGCATGACATCAGCGACAATGCAATAACCCGGAGGTTGGTATTTTTGTGGTCCACAGGGAGCTGCCAAATGCTCAACTTCCGGTCATCAGATTGCTAGCAATTCTCTTTGACCGAGCCTTCAGCTCCCCTCTCGACTCTCTTCCCCCTTCTCGCTCCCTCCCATCCCTCCCCTCACCCTGACCATTTCCCCCCTCCTCGCTCCCTCCCCTCCCCTCACCCTGACCATTTCCCCCCTCCTCGCTCCCTCCCTCCCCTCCCCTCACCCTGACCATTTCCCCCCTGCTCGGGTCATGACCCAACTGTGCAGCGCCTTGGGACGTCCTCCTGACGTGAAAGGCGCTTTATAAATGGAATCATGTTGTTGTTGTTGTTGTAGCAATGTCACTTTCTGAGGAATTCCCGTGTTCAGTGAATGCATTTTCATCCTTCAGACAAGACATTAAACCACGGTCCCATCTGCCCGTTCAGGTGGAGGTTAAAGATCTCATGGTGCTATTTGAAAAGAGAAGGGAGTTTCTCAGAGTGTCCTGGCCAACATTCCCCACAAATAAAATTAGTTATTCATTTCATGACTGTTTGTGGAGTACATCTGCTCACAAAACACACAGTCACTGCATTTTACACTTTATCCTGTGAAGTGCTTTGGGACATTCTTCCAATGTGAAAGGCATTACACCAAATCCAAGGATTAACGTCATTATATTTGTACGTTTGAACTGAGTGCAAAATATATGCGGTAACAAATTAATCATGTTTTATGAACAATAAGGTTGATAAAAAAGCATACCTCCTCTTTTAATTAAACTATAATTCAACATTTTCTTTGGCCTGCCAATAGTGTCTGACACATGTGGAAATCCATTACGGTGCTTGGGAGCATCCAAACCAGATTGTGTGCTCCACATGTGCATGCCACCTATGCGTAGACATGTTCCTGTGTCTGGGAATGTTTTCAGACGAAATTGTGCTGTTGCAGACAGTAATTCAACATGAGACAAAATAATATTTACAACCACTAGATGTTAGCAATATTGTTTTTCTTTACCCTTGTTTAGAGATGGTTGTTTCTATTTTGCGTTCAGCAGCTCAATGTGAGTTGGAGCCATCAGGGTCCTGATCTATATCTTGTGCGAAAAATAGCACCCCAACAATGTAGAGCTCCTCAAGTCCTGCACTGGAGTGTCAGCCTGGATTGTAAGATCAAATCTTGAACCCACAATATCCTGACCCAGAAGCAAAGAGTGTTACCCACTAAGTCAAGCTGACACCTGAACTGATTATAAATTTGTGATTCATTTATGTTGCCAGACACATTGGCACGGCCACATTCAGAATATTGAGGAGATCAGAAAAGGTTCATAGGAGAGCGACAAATATGATTTAAGGCATAAAGGTCATAGCCAAGAGAAGAATTGTCAAACTGAACCACTTATTCAACTGGGGGAGGTGTGGAGGCGGGAGGTAGGGAGTGGGGGTGGTTTGTTGGGGGAAGGAGATGAGAGGTGTTATGATCAAGATCGTTAAAATACCGAGAAAGACAATTGGTTAATTATATTAATTTGTAGTTGCTATAATAGAGGTTATGCAAGTAAAAGTTGTCAAGCCTCAAGCAAGACTGCAGATGAGAAGGTACTTTTTTCTGGGGGATTAGGTAATAATAGAATCAGTCAAAATTGGTTAACGTTATGTCAGTGTAAAAGGAGCTGAGTGACTTGCCAATGAGCAAGATTGAAGGTTCTTAGAATAAGATTGGACATGGATAATTAGATACTCCACAGAACAGAGGGACTGTTGATGTGTTTTCTGCGGAATGAAAATGGTCAGACTTGGGCAGTGTAATTCAAGACTGATTTCCTGGAGTTTTTTTCTTTGCTATCTGCCTTCTAGGTATCAGCCTGGCTCAGTTAGCAGTACTTTCACCACCGAGTCTAAAGGTTGTGGGTTCAAGTCCCGCTTCGGGACTCAACTCGCATTCTAGGCTGATATTCCAACACAACAATGTACTATGGAAAAAACAGTTGCTCAGAAAGCCACTGTAGACTCCATGGGCCGAATGGCCTTCTTCTACACCATAAATTACTAAAATTCTATGCTTATTCGGGTATCTTGTGGCAATATTTATAAAGGGAAGAGAGTTTCTCCTGGTGTCCTGGCCAACAAATCCCCTTAGAGAAAATAAGCCATTCATTTCATGCAGGACTTTGGTTTAACATTGCATCCAAAGAAACACATTGCATTGTCTCACAAACAATCATGAATACAGCAAGAATGCCACAGGACAGTGATTTAGTATTGGGGGGAGGCCAAAGCGAAAGATTGAAAGATTAGTTCCTCAAATTAGTTCCACGCTTCCTTTGGCTTTATCACTGTTTGCTTGTTAAGGCTTCTCCCCCTGTTCTCCTTTCATTTCAGCAGTACCTGAGCACTTGAAAACCTTCAGCAAGTCCGGATTTCATCCTTTCAGTGACCTAAACAAGCACAGTTTTCCTTCGATCGCAGGCATGGTGGGATATAATTGGATCAAACGTGATTAGGAGCGGGCTTATTTTATATATTTTATAGTATATTTTATAGTGCAAATATTCGGTCCATTCATTTTATAAATACTTCCAGGGAACAAAGACACCGTATCTCGCACATTTTTTTTTCCCTTTTGCATTTTTGTTTAATAAATTACAATGCACTTGAGTGCACCAGGAAGGATTGTGAAAGTGTCTGAGTGAGTGAGAGAGCTTTTTTGTCTCTGGCTTTCAAAGCTGAAACTAATATTTAATCTGGAAAACAATTCTTCACACAGAGCTTTTCTGTGGATGTAGAAAAAAATATATATAAAAGCACTGACCTTGATGGTCGTAGATGCAACATTGGTTGAGTTGTTTAAAAAATAAAT